GTGCCTGGCTCTGTTCCAGAAGCTGAAGTGGGTGACCTATTGGTTCAGGCTTCAGAACACAACGCTGTTCTTCTACACCAAGAAACACGGAAGTGCTGTAAGTATGTTCATTTTCCTCCAGCCCCCGACGGGCTGTGGCTCTGGATCTGGGATGGGTGCAGACCCCAGGCTTAACAGTATTTCGAGGTTGAATACCTCCACTCCACTTAGTGGTTGCTCCTACAGGCTGGACTGATCATATCTAATGTTTCCCAAAGTTGCAGCTGAGCGGTTTACATGGCTCAGATCATTGTGGGTACATGAGTTGTAAGTGTGTTTTTTCATGCCAGGATAGGAGAGCTGCTTTGTTTTTGTGGAATTAGTTCACTGGATCCTTATTTCATAGTATTTATAAGGCAATACAGGAGCCCAGGATGGTGGGGAGAGAAACTGCTTTACCAGGCGAGTTACAGGGGAACATGAGGCCAGACTCGAGAGCCCAGCCCAGAGTGTTGTTTGTCCAGGAGAGCAGGCGAACTGCCCCGCTCTTCCATACAGTGCCCCAGTCAGGACCCTGGTTTCACCTCTCACCCACGGGCTGGCAGCTCCTGAAGCACGGTGTTCCCTGTCACTGTACTGGGGCGCAGTTTGGAGAATCTGGTCATCCAGAAGGCAGATCAGATGAGTGAGCTGCTTGGGAGCCACAGCTCTGTGAGCTCGCAGCTGCCCTGCCCTGCCCTGCCCAGTCCTGCCCTGCCCTGCCCTGCCCTGCCCTGCCCTGCTCTGCCCTGCTCTGCCCTGCCCTGCTCTGCCCTGCTCTGCCCAGGCTCTGCTGTGGAGCTCTGGAGAGGGTGAGGGCCTGGGTGGGACACCCACACCAGAGAAGGCCTTGTGTCTCTGACTGTTATTATGGCTGGGACTCTCCAGGGACTGGCACCATTATACCAGGAGAGGACAAGGCTGCCCAGAGGTGGGAGTCCGCAGTTTACTGCAGGATAAACCCTCTGTAAGCACCTCTATCAGCATCGTGCAAAATCTGTTACACAGCGGAGAGCTGTGCAGGGTCTTTTGGGGGTCTGCAATGAGAGCTTCTACCTGTAAAACGTTCTTTTTAAAAATGTAAAAACAAACCTTTTGCAATAATTTGATGTTCCCTAAGAATAAGAGGAGGAGAGTAGGTGTTGTGTGTTTCCTGATGTCCTGCAGTACCCTAGTGGGTGTGTCTGCAAGAGTAACAATTCTTCACATCATTATGTTTTCGCAGTCCCACCTGAGAGGCCATTACTACATATACACAGTGAGTATGAGCATCCACTGCACTGGCTTATGAAGAAGCACTCTTTGCTTTTTGTCATTCAATTGCAAATAGATCAATGCCATGAGGAGAGCAAAGCAGAATAAGGTTTGTGTAAAAATGTGATGAACACGCATGTTACAGGATGCCCAACTGGTTTTTTTATTTCCTTGCTTTGCAAAAGAAAAATGCATATTCAAATTAACATTAGGGTGTAAGTGAGAAGATCTTTCCAGGGCAAGATACTGTAAACAGGACAAATTGCAGAAATCATTCTGCAGTCAGTTGGGAATTGGGATTACGCTAAATTCTAACCAGAAAACGTTGGAAACATGGAAACGTGGTGTTTCCCCTTTTCATTTCAAGACATGGCTCTCCGGTCCTGGGAGTCTGAAAAGTTTCAAAGTCTCTTTAAAGCAGCAGCACCTGAAGAGCTGGGAGATGCTGTTACTTTGGTCCCATTAGGCCCACATTGAGCTGATTAAGGTCATTAAGAAGTGAGTTGGAATAAAACTCTGCAGACCCACTGGACCAGGACTGGACCCCCTGCAGACACACTGACCCTGCAGGACCAGGACTGGACCCCCTGCAGACACACTGACCCCCCCCCAGGACCAGGACTGGACCCCCTGCAGACACACTCAGACCCACTGGACCAGGACTGGTCCCCCTGCAGACACACTGACCCTGCGGGACCAGGACTGGACCCCCTGCAGTAACACTGACCCTGCGGGACCAGGACTGGACCCCCTGCAGACACACTGACTCCCCCAAGACCAGAATCTGATTGTAATGGTTTAAGGGGAAGCTCTTCTCTGATTAAGGCATAAGAAGATTTTATTCCAGAAAATGTTATGACGTCGTATCATATCTTTTATCTCCTCATTGCATCATAATGTTTGTTTCTATGACGCACTGTTTCTGCTGGGAGAGAGTGCTTTAAAACCTGCTGCTCTCTGCTGTTGAACAGGTTCAGTCAGTCCGCGAAGTGAAGTCTGACAACAAGCAGTTTGTTTTTGAAATCACCATGAAAAATGGGAAGAAGAAAGTGCTGGTAAGTTGTGAGGGCCGCTCCTCTGCAACATGTGCATGCTTTTAGGTCTTCATTCAACAGGAAAGCAATAAGACAAGCTCACACGCCAATGCAAAACACATCAACTCAATTTCGAACACAGCCTTTTGACTTTGGCTTCATTAGTCCCGGAGCGTGAAGCAGACAGGTTTTGTGTCCAGGAGTAGAAGCAGGAAGCCCTGTGGGTCTGAAACGAGCTGCAGGACTACAAGATGAGGGTCCCCGTGTCCCCATCAGAGAATAGCAAAATGAGACCAAGAGGTCGTGAAGGGAGATGGGCTGACTGGCCTCATTTCATGCCGCCTCTGTCTTGTGCTCTCCCTGCCCGCCCCGGGACGGCTCCAGGCCGCGGAGACGGAGGAGCTGCGAGCGGCGTGGACGGGCCTGCTGTGGAAAGCCATGCAGCTCCCAGGGCCGGGCCACCCGGACTCCGCCTGCGTCTGGTAACTCCACACCCACACCGCCTCCCGGCTGCCGCGGGGCCAGGAGCGAGGGGCTGCGCCGTCCCCGGGGGCCGTGGCTGACGGGTGTCTCTGCTGCAGGCACGACGTGGCCGACCTGAAGGAGCGCGCGGGCCCCCGCCATCACAGCAGCTCCGAGTCGGACAGCGGGGCGTCCGGCGGACGGCCCAGCTCCTTCTCCAGCTTCACGGACCCGAGGGGGCTGGCGCAGCCGCCCACCGGGCCCCCCCTCGATGCAGGTGCCCGGTCCGAACCGTCTCCGGCCTGTCTGGGGTTCGAGGGCTGGACTGGCCCTTGATGATGTCTTTCACATGGAATTCTTCAGCTGTCTCTGCAGCAGATAGTTAGATCACAGACTTGCCATGAAATAGTGTTGCCTCACCTTGTTATATACAATATATCTATAAGTATCACTGTACTCTTTCAAATGGCATTCATTCAGTCACTTTTCCTTGGTTACATCGTTGACTAACCCTCCTTTATATCTTCAAAATCCTTATTTCAAAATCCACAGGAAAGAGAAATCAAAATGTCTATCATTAACAGCTTTAATTAGCAGAACACAGTGCATCGTTGGTTTCTAGATTAAGTTTGGGCCCAGGATCTAGCTTTAGGCCTGTGGTCAGGGCAGGAATACTTCAGCTGGCCCCAATTTACTTGTCCACATGATGTTGATGCCGACAAGCCAGGGCTTGCACCCCTCGATTAATTGTTGAGCAAGAAGAGGATCTGACCACACAGGGGCAATGCTCATCAAGCGGGGAAAAATCCCAATGTGAAAAATAAGACTATTGCCTGTGAGCTATCTGAGCAGAGCAGTCAAGTCAGGGTTGTCTTATGGCTTCAGGAAGGGCCTGGAGTATCCAGAGAACGAGTCCTGCGGTGGAGGAGAATTACCAGCAGGGGGAGCGAGAGGCCACCTCCAGCGTCCTGGGGTACAGTGAAGGTGAGAATGCTCTTTTCTCTCAAGTTGTTTTCTGGGTACTGCTGGAGCAAGAACAGTGAACCTTCTTCGTTCCATTCTGTTTGAGGCCTTGAATTGCTCGGTTGATCCCTAATTGCTAAATTGACCCTCTTGCCGCTGATCACTTAAATCATTAAGGATTATGAGGTTTAAGGCATTGCAATGGAATGGGGTTCCTGGAGCAGCTGCTGGTGTTTCAAAACTTCATTCCCTACAAGGCTCCTGCTGACTTAATAAGAGCTAATCGAAACGTTAATAAAATATGACAATGCAGTTCCAATCAAATCCACTCTTCATGTCGGCAGCCACTCACAATCAGTACAAGTGCTCCTGGAGCTGAATTCACAGACGGCAGCATTGCTGAACGTCGCCATGCAGGGGCTGTGTTGTCTGTTGTCCCGGGTAAAGGGGACGTCACTGAGGCCAGTTGGCCTGGGTGGAATGAGCTGATCTTGGGTAGCTACAGTTATCTCTTAGAGAGTATTGTATGGTGAATACTATACTAATGCATTGTAATAGTATGAGCACATTGGTAGTATGGGACTACTGTGAGGGTCATTTGATAGAAAAAGGTTTTAGAAGTGGAGTCTTGTGCAAGTGTTTGGCGAGGGTGTTGGCTGAATATGGCCCCAGTGTCATCACACTCAGCCACAAGCAGCGCTTTGTAAGACTTGTCACTGCCCACACCTCCACATTCCCTGAATGAGCATCCTCAGTGCTGGGTTACCATCTTCCAGCACAAAGAAACAATCAACCTGTTTTGAAATCCAGCACCTGACACAGAGTTAGTGCTCTTTTTTTTCCTAGTCCCACTGTTCAAGGGTAGTTAAGATAGATAAGATAGGTGAGATAAGATTTTATTGTCCCCTGAGGGAACTTTTTTATGGACACCCAGCACTCCTGTACATTTAAATAGAATGCAAAAAAAAGCAGAGAAGAAAAACATTGCACATCACTCTGTTGCACATGTACAGTATAACACATAACAACATGTACCATTTATAACACATTACAAAACATATTGCACTCAAGAGGGTTGTAAGAGTCAAAATCGTGTTCATCCTTGATATTTGTGTTGACAGCTTTAATGGATAGTGGAACACAGGAATGTTTGTATCTGTTTGACTTACATTTGGGAACCCTAAAACGTTTCCCAGAAGGAAGAAGTTGATATTCAGGGTTGAGGATGTGGGAAGGATCTGATATCATTTTTCCTGCCTGTTTGATTATGGATTTTTCAAAGATTGTCTGCAGGGAGGCGTGCTGTTACACTCTCATGACCTTCAAAGCTGTCTGGTTGAGGCGGGTAATTTGTGATTTAAAATGATCTGATCATGCTCTCGTTTACAGCACGGTAAAAGAGGAGCATTACTTCCTGTCGAACCCCAAACACTCTTAGTCTCTGCAGGAAATATAAGCGCTGCTGAACTTTGGAGCAAACACTCTCCACATGAGTAGACCAGCACAGGTCCTGAGTACTTATATGAATCAACCTGAGTGATAAGTTCGTTGACTGTTTACGCTGACATGTAAACAGATGAGCTGCTTCCTCTACACATTAAGCCAAGAACAGCTGTATCATCTGAGAATTTGAAAATGAAGTTGCTGTGACTACAGCTCGTACAATCGTTTGTATAAAGTGTGAACAGCACTGGAGAGCTCACACAGCCCTGAGGGGCACCTGTGCTCATAGATCGTGACTCGGAAAGAGTTTTGTTGACCCTGACATACTGTGTGCGGTGTGTTAAAAATGAGTGATACCTTCTTATAATGTTATGGTTAACGGACAGTTGTAAAAGCAGTTCACAAGCATTCAAGAAGCCTAATTAACAAAGCTCAGCTGGTAATGAAGTCAGCAGCTCTGCCCCAGGCCTGGGACGTGGACACAAAGCTCAGAGGCCACAGTGTTCACAAGAGGGCTAATTCACGCAGCCTGATGCTGATGTGAAGCAGACACAAAAGAAGCAGCAATCTTTCACTCTACATATCCACATGCCTGCGTACCCCCATTTTCTGTTTAAATTGTTAAGCAACTCCCTCTCCAAGCCGGGGGGTGATGCTCGCTAACAATCCCCTCGTTTTGCTCTGTGAGGGACTGTAGTTCTGTGACCCTGATGCACTAAACGGGCTGTCACCCCTCCCCTGCAGCTCAGCACCAGAGCATCGCTGCGCAAGAGGAGGAAGAGGAGGAGGGCCTGTATGATGTGCCAACGTCGAACCGAGAAGCCAGAGGAGAAAGCGCCCAGGGTAGGACATGATGTGCCTGGCTGGGGTCCATGTGCTGCTCACTAGCTGTGCGTTGGAAAGGAGGAAACTGAGCTGATGTTGCAAACTCTAATAAAACATTCTGTGGGGATGGAGCTGTCACAGCGACTGTCCACTGACATCTGTTCCTCTCCTGTTCCTCGGCTCCGAGAGCCCAGGCACCGTGGCTGAGACGCGCACTGACCTGCTGTCTCTTTTGGTTTAGGCAGCAGTGCCATTATCACAGAAAGCATCTATGATGTTCCAAAGTCTTTGCTAAGAAAAGCTTCTGAAAGCCGACTGGGTAAGTGAGTCTCTTTAATTCGTTCCTTTGATTTCGTGTTTCTATAAATAAATCTTTGAGAAAAGAGTAATTCCGCTCGGTTTTGAGAAGAGTGGTTATTTTGTATTCTTTTATTTCCTCATGCATTCATGTCTTCCTTTTTCTCTCTTCTCATTACGGTGTAAGTTTCTGAGTGGGAACAGGAAGTGTCTTCAAAGCAGTTGATGTAATAAGCCTATAAAAGTATTTAGTCTGATATTCATCAGATTTGAGGTCTTTTGGAATCTTTTGATTAGACTTTTCCAAGAGCGAAACCTGCTTTCCAAAAGGAAGGTAAAGGATTGATGACGCATCAGAACGTGTGTCGCCGTAATGCCGCTAAGTGTTAATGCCCCCATGTCCGTCCTGAACCGTAACGGAAGACTGGTTTTGCAAAGGGAGACGGTGGCAGTGTCACCACCTGTCAGTCAGGTGTTGTCGGGCCTCCAGGCAGTGCTGGAAACCGGGAGAGCTCCAAGTGCCGCCAGGTGGCTGTTGTCAGTGGCGCTGGTAAACCAGCAGATGGCGCTCTCCTCACAGCATGGTGCCCAGAATGTGACTGTGCAAGACTATGAGGCGTCGTCCTGCAGATGAGATGTTTAACCAAAGTCCCAGGTCACTGAAGATCCCACAGCACTGCTCGAGACCGTGGAGGTGGTATTCCCAGCGTCCCGACTGACTTCCCCTCTGTGCTGTGCATCTGGCCTCCCTAGAGGTTCTCCATCATTCAGCTGGAGAGGCAGTTCTCACCTCTCTATCGCTGCTTTCCCTTCGATACACAAAGCATTTTGGGATCCTTTTGGAATAAGGCTCTTTGTAAAAGCAAGCAATTATTTTTATTTCTCACTTGCACACGAAATGTAAAATGATCAGTGTCATATAAGATAAGAGATAAGATAAGATCACTTTATTGGCCCTGTACAATTTCTTGTATTAGGAATTCGTCTTTTCGCAGACCCCAGCTTGCTCTCCATGAGACACACAGACAGGGAGAGAAGCTGGGGGTTAGAGCGAGGGGGTCAGCTATTTACACAGCACCCCTGGAGCAGTTGGGGTGAAGGGCCGTGCTCAGGGGCCCAACAGAGTAGGATTCCTCTGCCAGCTGCGGGATTCAAACTATCTGTATCGAACTATCGGGTTCTATCTGCGTGGAGGAGTTTGGAGGAGTTTGTATGCTCTCTCTGTGTGTTGGTGAGGGTTTCCTCCCACAGTCCAAAACCACATTGGTGGGTGAATTGGCGCCTGGGAAGATCGGTCCTGGTGTGAGTGTGTGTGGCAGTGTGTGTGCTCTGCGATGGACTGGCGTTCCATCCAGGGTGTATCCCACCCTGCGCCTGCTGCTTGATACTGTGGGACAGCTGACCCTGAACTGGAAGAAACTGAGTGGGTGGGTGCCACCTAGTGGCACCAAGTGGGAAATGCACTTTCTCATAGGGAGTCAGAACCAGACAGCACAGGCTGCAGTTTCATGCAGGAAAATAAGATAAGATTTATTGTCTCCTGAGGGAAATTGTTTGTTGACACACAGCACAGCACTGTACATTTAAATATAATGCAGAAAAGAAAAACATCGCACATCACTCTATTGCACATGTATAACACATAACAACATATAACATTTATAACACATTACAAAACATATTGCACACAAGTGGATTGTAAAGGTCAAAAATTTAGTTTATCTTTGCCATTTGCAATGACAGCTTTAATGGATAGTGGAACAAAGGAATGTTTGTATCTGTTTGACTTTTGGGAACCCTAAAATATTTGCCAGAAGAAAGAAGTTGGTATTCAGAACTGAGGATGTGGGAAGGATCTGATATGATTTTTCTGCTTGTTTTATGATGGCTTTTTCAAAGATTGTCTGCAGGGAAGGGTGCTGTTTCACCATGACCATGACCATGACCTTCAAAGCTGTTTGGATGAGAGGGGTAATTTGCGATCATAATTGAACTGATAAATTACCAAACCACAGTGTTATACCATATCTGATGATGCTCTCTCTGGTAAAAGATGAGCATTATTTCCTGTTGAACCCCAAACACTCTTAGTCTTTGCAAGAAATATAAGTGCTGCTGAACTTTGGAGCAAACACTCTCCGCATGAGTAGTCCAGACCAGGTTACTGTCTGTGTGTACTCCTAGGTACTATGTACTCGGAATCAACCTGAGTGACACGTTCATTGTGAATTACTACATGTGAGTGATACCCAACTGCTCTGGGAACAAAAACGATTTATTTTGTTTTATTAACATTCAGAATTAGGCTATTGTTGTCGCACCATTGCACAAACCTTTGGATTTCTGACATGTACACAGATGAGCTGCTTCCTCTACACATTAAGCCAAGAACAGCTGTATTGTCTGAGAATTTGAAAATGAAGATGCTTTGACTACTGCTTGTACAATCGTTTGTATAAAGTGTGAACAGAACTGGAGAGCTCACACAGCCCTGAGGGGCACCTGTGCTCATAGATCGTGACTGGGAAAGAGTTTTGTTGACCCTGACATACTGTGTGCGGTTATAAATGAATGGTACCATCTTATAATGTTATGGTTAACAGACATTTGCTCCAACTTGCTTATCAATAGATAAGGAAGGGCTGTGTAGGTGTCTGTTAAGACCAAAGTTAAAAATACTTTGAAAGGTCATGTTACCATGGAAATAGAGGTAATTAACATCTTACTGTTTTGTAATAGTGAAGACAAAAACACAAGATCTCTAATCCCTTCCCAAATTATGTGAGATAACCAGTGACTTTACACTAACAACCAGATACAATAGAGCTCTTTTACAGCAGAGCTCTCCAAAGTTGATATTTTATTTGTTTCTAAGTTTTATTAGCTGTCTTGATGATTATTAAATTCTGTTTCATTTTAGAGGTCCTCTCCGGGGTTGAGACCTTGACGCTTCTGGACGACATTAAGCTCAGCCTGGGCAGCGATCACGTCAGCTGGATAAACAGCAGCTCCACCAGTTAGGACTGCTGCACTATGGGGCTGGTTCTTATTTCTCCTGCTTCCACTTTCTGTGGCCCATCAGGAAATTGGACTCTCATTGCTGAGCTGAAGCCTTGCATTACAGGCTTCTGCGCACATTGTTGAAGCTGCAAAGCAAATTTCTTTACAGGACTGTTGAGGATATTTTAATCCAGATATAAACATTAAATATAACATCAAGGGTCACCTTAGATGTACTTAAGCATTCAGTCTATCATTACTGAGTCCTTGAAGGATTATGAAAAGAAATGGTAATATGAAAATATTATAGAAAATAAGTGTATCGTTCTGTATAAAGTATGTTTCATTTGGGATTTTCTCATTGTAGCCGATTTTTCTAATAGATTGTGTTTGTGTGTTTTACTCAGTTCTTAAAGTTGCTGAAACTGTCGGACCTTCAATAAAAGCTCATCGAGGCAGCTTAGTACACTGATGAGTCCCAACAGCAATACAGCCCTCTCCCCACTGCACACTAGAGGAGAATCTGAGCAGGCCTGTCAGTATCAGTATCCACATGTCTACAGCATAGATGCTAAAACACAAGAACCCTTCTCCAAGATAGTCATCATCATCAGCGCTGATTTCCTGTTAATGGATAACAACCAAAACATCATTGAAAAACTGTGTGTATTAAGAACAAATTAAAAGGAGTCTGGAGACAGGTGTGACTGTCGGCTCCACATCTGGAGACAGCTGTGACACTCAGCTCCACTCCCAGAGAGGAAAGTGTAATTCACTGAGGTTCAGATGTGCAGGCTGGTGCTGTGTTGCATGTCAGGGAAGAAATAATTTTTAGATGATGGACACTTATGAACTACAGCACAGGGCCACAGGGCCACAGGGCCAGTCCTTGAGGGCAACTGTCTAGCAGATTTTATATGTTTTCTTAACCTTAATTTCATTTAAGTCTTAATTGAACTAATCTGACCCTTTTCCTGAGGTCTTTCGCTGATGATGATTTAAAGAGACCTACACCACTGTACCTTTAAAGAAAAACCATCATTGTCCATCATTACATCGCCTGCCTTTCCCCTGGTCCAGCTCAGAGCCCGAGCACAGCTCCCTCTCTCTGCGCTCAGCAGGTACCAGACTGCTGCCCGGACCTGACCGGCAGGACTGTCTCCGAGAGTGAGCACACACAGCTCCTTTCGCTGATGCCACAGCTCTCCTCATCGCGTCTACCGAGAGCTGCTGTTCTTCACAGGCGAGAGGAAAGGGAAAGACTGCAGCCAATAATTTCAGCCAGCTGTCATCGCGGTCTCCTGCTCTGCTCTGCAACTGTCTTCGCGTCTGTATTCGGTTCGATTGCAGGACATTCCTACAGAGGCAGAGAACACAGAGGGAGAGGGAGAGTCCGGAGTTGCAGTACAGGGGTGTAATGAGGGTCTGTCTCGTTGCTGTGCCCGTGCAGCCACGCTGTCTCATGCGAGTTACGAGCAGGGAAGCGCAGAAAGTAAAGGGTCTTCCATTCGCTGGTCTGGACACCAGTGGCTCCCAGTGCGGACACCACCTCTAATGGTGGAGTACTAGGGGAGGAACCGGGGTAAAGGAAGAAGGGTGTCTTCTGACGACAGACCTAGGGGGAGGTGTTTTGTACCTCCAAAAATAAGACTTTGCGGGCGGCGATCGTCGTCGATCCACAAGCGAGCGGCGGTGCGGTGATGTAGCGGCAGCGAGCCGGCTGGATGCGGTCAGTTCGCGTGGAGCCGGTCTGCTCAGGACACCAAGCGCTGCCCGCAGACACGGCGGAGACAACCGGCTGTGGCGCAGCGTCACGACGAACGACATCCCAGCAAGGTGAGGTGACGTAGCTCTTAAAATGCAAGTTTCCTCTCTGCGAAGAGTAGTATTTTGTTGTTTGACTCGGTCCGCCTCCCCCCCCCCCCAAGATGAATTAGCAAGGGTGTCTTAGGTTTATTTTTATTTTTTTGGTCGGCAACAATGACGGCCGTAACTATCGGGTTAACGTTGTCGTTGTGGTGTAATTGATTATTTTTAAGCTAAAAACTCGCTTTTCAACTGAAGGTCTTCGTCGTCAGCTGGATACTTTAAATACAGACCATTTCATGTTGTGAAATCTCTAGTGGACACGCAAGTCTGACCCAGAGGTTTTCTAATCCTGTTCTGTACCTATTTTCCTCTCCAATACTCCCTCTTAATTTCTGTTGCTCTGCACTTCGCCTGCTGGGCGAAGCTGGAGTTCTGGGACGCGAACGACCGCTGTTCGAGCCGGACTCTTCGGGAAGCCGACTGCAAACTATTCCGCTCTCTCGCTGCAGGAGAAGGCGTCGGAGCGGACAGGGAAGATGCGACGCGGAGGTGAGAGTCCAGAGATTTCCACCACCTGGGGACAGACCGGACAGGGCTCGGAACCGGGATTCGTGTCCTTTCGCTCTGCCTTCGGAACCGATTCCTCGGCAGATCCCCGCGGACGATGACCCGATGGACAACGCAGTTCTAGAACGCTGATTCGGCGATTCGGTCCGGCGAACCCCGGCTGCTTATTGCGTGCGGTCGCCCGAACCGAGTCCGCTTCTGGCCCGGATGACCCGCTCGGCAGGTGACTCCGCAGCTGTGTCCTGACGAAACGAGGAATCGTCGCCCTCGGTCAGTTTTACCCGGAGGACTGCGTCGTGGGGGGAAAAAAAGCCCTAAATTTTACCAGAATACGTACTTTTATCTTTTCCTGCCGAAGTGAGTGAGCGTTATTCACTTGGATTTTTCTTCGGTTTGTGAAGTGTTACCTTGTCGTCGACTTTTTACAATTTATTTTGTATTTGGATATTTTTTAAGCCACGCACGATGAAAGGGAAATTGAATACCGCGGACCCGGAGATGTCCCGACTGTGAATTTTGTGGAGGAGAATTTATTTTTTTCACTCGGTGGAAGTCGCTTCTTTTTTTGGGGGGGTTTAGCACGATATATAGCCTTTAGGCTCTGCAGCGCTGAAGCTGGCGGCGTGAGGCTGGGAGAACTGGAATGGGAATGATCCCTGTTTCTGCCGGGTCGCCGAGAAGGGTTTAGCGCGGAGCGCCCCGGAGGCAGGGAGATGTCGGGGTGTCCGGGTCGCGGGGGGTCCTCGTCCCCCGCTGTGGCCGCCAACGCGGAAGGAGACGAAATTGAGGTGCTGGAGAGCTGTGACGTCCTCCCCACTGCCCCGGAGGAGGTAAGTGACATAAAGACTATTTAATCAGCGCGTTTGTTTACATAAAAAATTACATTCTAATGCAGCGATTTAACCCCCTCCCTTGATAATCCCAAAACTTTAGTCCCAGACGTTCCTCACGCAACTGTTTCACAGTGGATGTCCATTTCCACGCCGGGTGCCCTCCGGATTTGATCGTTGTTTTATTCCTAAATCACTGTTGCCGTAGCTGTGGAAAGCACACCTGAGCCTTCTCGCTTAGCGAACCTGGCAGGTACAGCGCCCGGAGTAGCCGTGTGCGTGGAGCTCGCTGAAGTGGGCAGATCCGGACCCCTCTTCGGGCGGAGTTTCGAAAGTGAGATAGTGTCGGTGATGAAGAATACGCCCAGTGCATGGAGAGTGTTATTCAGAAAGTGGCCAGGCTGACTACTTTTTTTTTGGATAGAAAGCAGGATATTGTGAGTATCGTGAGATAGTTTCAGAGTGCTACGTGCTGTCCGGGCCAGGCTTGTGGGTAGAATGGGGGTGACTGTGCTTCAATAAGGGACATGACAAGAGGGGGTGGGTCCCCCCACCTCCACACTGTCTCGTGCCCGCCTTCCAGGGGAGTGGGGGGTGTGTCCCGCGAGCCAGGTGAGGCGAGGTGAGGTGTGATCGCGCACGTGGCCTTCTCTCACCCTTCTCTCACCCTTCTCTTTCTCACTCTCCCCCCGCGCCTCACTCTGTACCTGGGCTCAGCACTGGAAAGCGCTTTTCGACAAGGTATGTAACCCAAGCTCTTTCTTGTGTTTCGCTGGGTGGGGGGAGAAATAGTAATAAAACGCTTTCTCGCTTGTTTACAACAACTGGGCGTCTGTCGCGTATCAGGAGGTCGTAGACTCGTTCATCGGGTCTTGTAGGGATTCAGGCAGCGAGCGGTGCGGGACAGGCGTTCAGGGGAAGGTTAAACTCGTCTTTCTCCGTGGTCTGAAACAGCAAAGAGAAATAGGTTTTGTGTGTGAAATACCTCTCTCCTTGTTACCTGATGTAGACTAGGTCACCTCTCTTTTAGTTTCCTCATAGGTACTTGGTAATGATTTTTCAGTGTTAAAACGTTATACTCATGAGATCTAAATACCGGCGCCTGTATCACCTGCCTGCCAGTACGCAAGTCCACTCCTGTAGTGATGCGGGTTTCTCTGTGTGTGTTTGTTTTGTTCTTTGGTCTGTAATCAAGGCTGTGAGGATAACCTGAATGGCAGTTCAGGGGAAGGGCAGTTGAGAACAGGGCACTCCTGAGAACAGGAGGCTCTTCTTTACACCGAGGGTGGTGGGAGTGGGGAGCGAGCTGCCCGGCCCTGTTGTCGAAGCTGTTACCCAAGAAGCAGTTGGGTCAATTAGCTACGAGCAGCTACCCGGACCAGCCGGGCCACACGGGCTCCTGTCGTTTCCTGACCTGTCCTCATGACCTCCATGGCCTCATGAAATCCAGCTGCAGTGCAGTCACACAGGTGCTGTAAAATAGACCCATGGAAGAAGCCCCACAGCCTTTCCCCCTGTGTCTCTGTGTGGGCGCCTGCTGTTCTGGAAGTGCAGGGACGATATTCAGAGAGTAAATGAGGCAATGAGGCGGGGAAGGACTGGCTGAGTGTGCTGTGAAGCAGGAGCAGCCGGAGTCGGGATTTATCAAGCTGAAGAAATGTCGCGGATTTCGAATTGCCTCCTCCCCCCCCCCCCCCCCCTCCGAAAAGACATCTCAGCTTCTGGGGAGAATAGTTCCCTGCCTGGACTGATCCCAGGACGGCCCCGCACAAAGGCAATTAGAACGATATCTAATCCCATTTACAGTTGTCAGCTCTCGCTGCCAAATGGCACAAAGCAGGAGGCGGCTGACGGCGCCCAGCTCTGCGGCCGGGCGGCTCTGGGGAGCACCTGCTCTGCACCCCCCTCCCCCTCTCCCGGGGGCCGGACAAAGGGGCCGGGGGGCTCGTGTCAGCCGGCCCTTTCAGGCGCGGTGGCCGTGGCACATGCGATTAACGACCCTGCCGAGAGGCTCTTTGTGCGGGAGCGAAGCGGGCCTCCCAGTCCCCCGTCTTTGTGTGCGCCGCGCCGCGCCGCTCGGGGCTCTCTCGGCGGGCTCCCCGCCCTGTCCGGGCCCGGGTCCGAGCATGGAGCTCCCCCAGGACAGCAGGCCTGTGCAGACCTGTGTGGCTGGAGCGCAGTCTCCACGACGTGTGGGCTCTCCCTTAATTAAAACATTCATGTGTGTCGCTCGGCCCGGCCTGTCCCCGGAGATCCCCTGTTGCAGTGTAGGCGCTTTGTCAGAGCGGAAAGTGAGACGATAAAGCCGGAGCGCGGTGATTTGTAGCAGCAGTCGTGCCAGAGTGGCAGCAGTGGGCTTCAGAGAGACATTCAGATTTAATGAAGCACCACAGCCGTCTGGGGGAGAAGCCTCCTCAGGCTCGTCCACAGCAGCTGCGCAGGTCATGGATATACGGTACCAGCAAACTCGAATGGTCAACGATTAATTTTTTTCTGGTGCCGCTTTCGGTGATGATTGCTGTGGCTCTGGTCAGCGGACCCCTGGCCAGTTTCCGATGTGCTCTCTGCAGGGCGAAGGGTGACAATCACCTTCACGGTGAAGACCTGCTCCACCCACACAGACTGTTTGCAGGGAGGGATCTACAGCACTGGCCCTAGGGAGCCACGGAGCAGATTTAAACAGCCCCTGAGGGCACACTTGGGTACTGTCAATTTGTATTAATTCAGCACAAGAGTGGTTTTAGTCGTGAGGTCATTCGGCGCTCTGCTGGAAGGCAGTGTGCTCTTGTGTCTTGTGTTGGCACGTCCCCATGCCACTGTGGGACGCAGGTCAACAGGCCAGGAGGACAGGCGTGTGGGTGCTGTGTGTGCTGCTGGACACCTCTGGACCATGTCAGCATGTGGAGATACTGGGGATACTGGGATACATGTGGAGTCTCAGCTGGCAGCAGCACTATAAACCCCATGAGTTCGGCACTGGTGCACGTGTGTATTGCTGGCTGTTAGCTTTAATTGCTTGACCAGATATGGACTCAGTGGGAGAGTATGTTTCCCCAGATGGCATCAGGCGGGTCAGGGGTGCTCCAGTGAAAACTGACATGCGCCATTGGGACACCCTGGAGCTTTGGGGTCTTTACGTTTCCACCTGTTGGCTGCAACCAGCTGTCTGCTTGTGTTACTGTTCGCAATGTGTGGCTCTGTGGCTCAATGTTTGAGGGGACTCAAAGGAACAGATGAGGGGTGATTTTCAGTGTGTCCGAATTAAGTACAGGACTCCTGCATCACAGTCTTGTTCCTGTCATTCATTCTGCAGGTGTGCAGGCACCATTTACAGGGTTACGCTATATATACATACTGTATACAGTGTACATACTGTGATAAGGCTGCAGAAGGTATTACCACTGCAAGGCAATACTTTTACCAATTACAGTACATTCCTTTCGGTTACGGGTCAGTCTTCTTCCGCAACAGAAGAACAGGAATTCAAATCAGTGTCGGGTTTTGATGTCGTGGATGATGGATATCAACCATATAAAGTAAACAGACATTTTTAAAATACAGTTTTGCAGTCTTTTGAAGTCTCCCATCTGTCGATTCATGTGTGGAAACGCGTGGACCTTAATCAGGGGTTCCGTTTGCGGGGAGCAATTATAGTCTTACGGCTTTTCTCCTCTTCCCAAAACACTGTAATTCTCTAATTGCAAAGCTGCGCTGTGTTGTGTGAACCCTGAAAGCCAAGAGGAATGCATTGAGGCACCTACTTTTCTCAAGTTCTGTAGGAGACGGCGAGCCTTTGTGCTCGTGTTTCCTCTGATATGTTAATTACGGCTTACTTTCCCTGTCAGCATTCGTACTGCTTCGCCGCCAGACAGTGCCTGGAAGTGCTGAGACACAGAGCCTGCTGCTGGCCGAGTGCCTCTCCTGTCCACGGTGCAGAAGCAGTGTGGTGGCCTCTGTTGCCCGAAACCGTCCGCCTGCCTCAGGGTCTCGGATTACGGACCTCACTTCCAGTTTTGTTTTTACAAATTGGCAGGTCTTGATGAGAAAGCCGACATGGAATTCCAGAATGTTCCTGAAAACCTTTATTTAAAAAAAAAAGCAACAATTGAATCACTGCGGCATTGAATCCTCCGGAGCTGGCAAAGCAGCTCATTGGACCACCAGCGCGCGCGCTCAGAGCCCGGCCCCCCGCCCCAGTCCCCTGCGCACCCTGTTGCGCACACCGGGCGCCCAGCATGAGCAGGACCCTGTGTCGGAACGAGGTGTTTACAGGGCTCGGCTCACAGGCGCCTCAGACTGGCACGAGCCCCTCCAGTCTTCTCGTGCTGCAGCACTGGAGGCCTGGTGTGGAGAGAGGAGGCCAGCCTGCGGTCCTCCAGCGCCCAGCCTGTCCCACAGGGGACTGATCCCGCGGGGCTGCACCAGCTCTCATCCACACCGTCCCTGCTTCTGCCCCTGACCTCTGTCCGAGCTCTCAGGTGAAGAGGCCCTCAGTCCAACAGCATCCGGCCCCAGGCAGAGGGGCTCTGGGTGATCATTCGGATGACTGGTCTCTGCTGGGGCTCTCATGCAAGTGTGTGTGTGGGGCGGTGAAAAGTCCTCTCTCCCCCAATCTCTTGTTAGAGGCACCTGTGTTTACAGCAACCTGAATCAATGTTCTTTTAAAAGCTTGTTAGAAAGAAACTAACCTTCCAAGTAATACTGTGTGTGCCAATAGGTGGGTGCCTCAGTGCATTTCACAACAATGCAAGTCACGGTTTCATCTGGCTTTTACATCTCAAGCTTTGCAGTGGAAAGAGTTTCTTGTCAGTTGAGAACTGATGCAATTTATTTACTTTAATGCAGAAATGTACAAGCAAAAAGCAAAAAACAAATGGAGTGTCTTCTCCAAAGCGCTGTGCTGCCGGCTGTCCAGGGACGTGGCTCTGCAGCTTTCGGAAGTCATCTCCTCTGGAGCTGCCTGTTCCCGGGTCTCACTGACAGCCGAAAAGGAAAAGACATTCTCCTGCCTTCCTGCAGGAGCCCAGTCTTAGATTTAAAAAAAGACTTTTTTTCCCTTTACACCTCCCACACAACCCAGTTCACATGGAATAATGCAGGAGCCCCTCTCTTGCTGAGTCTTGCCAGCTCGTCATTCACAGAGAAGCTTCGGGCTCAGTTTCCCAGCTGGCAGGAGTGATAATTAAGAGCCCAGCCACCCCGAAACACGTGACGTACTGGTGTTGACATCGTTCACATTTAGGGCTTGGTTGATTCTCACTCGGGCCTCAAACTATTTCAAAGACTTGTACACAGACAAAGAGAGAGAGGGTAGGAGGCACAAGCTGGCTGATTATTCAAAACCGTCTGAATTCCTCGAGTTGCCATCGAACACTGGCAGTGATTTTCTAGCTGCGTACTTCTCAGTGTTTTGACATCATGTTGAATTTGTAGCTGTCCTGTAAACAGGCAGCAGCTATTACTGATGATCCCAGGCCAGTGCGACACCCAGGAGACCCACTGCAGTATTAATGAATGCCTTCCACTTTGTCAAAGGAGAAACACGCTTGTAACAACAAGAAACAAAAAAACAAGGAAGATTTGTTTTAAGTCCTTGTTTTCTGAATATCATTCCTAGTGATTAGTACCTTGTGTGGCTTTGGGATTTTTCGTCTGGTACCTTTAGGGCTTTATGTAAAGATGCCTTCTGCTCAGAAAGATTCAAACAGCGTGATGTGTGTCCTGATTGTGAGGTGGCATTT